TTTGGGTAGTCCCTCCTGGTAGTCCTCAATAGCAATCTCGTGCACCTCAGGTTCCAGATCAAATGAGATTCTGCGATCATCAGAAGACTTCTTTGCGCTGGCTATCCTCGGAGAGGTATAATCCATGGAATCTTCATTGTCGCTATCAAAGAAGGAATCAATGGTAATGGGAGTCGCTTTCTTCTTTGGCGTCTTCTTGCTGGTTCTCTCTGAGGATGCTGAGGGTGATTTGTCTGCATGTAGGAACTTACATTTGCTTCCGAACTTGCAGGTACCTTCTTGCCAATTCCAACATACCTTCTTTTTGGGTCCAGCTGAAGATGAACTTCCTCTACTTTTCCCTCTTGATGAATCTCGACTTCCGCTTCTGCCTTTCTTACCTTTCATCTTGGCATCATAGACCTTTTGCGAATGACTGTAAAGACATTTGTCACCTTTGTTGCATCCTCCTTTATTGAAGAAATAGTTACAGAAAATCTTCTTCTTGTCCACAGGTGAAGATGATCTTCCCTTCCCACCTTTGCCTTTCTTGTTGTTCTTGTCGGCATGGGACTTCGGAGAAGGTGTAGGAAGTACTGATGCAGCTTCACTCTTCGCTTTCGCCTTAGGACGTTTGGGAGGATCACCTGTAGACGATGCGGCTGCTTCGTTCTCCTTCTTGGTTTTGACGGGAGCGGCAGGCTTGTCTGCATCTTCTAGGGCAGGTGTCGTCTTGTTAGAGGACAATGACAGTTTCACTGCACGTTCTCTATCTTTCAACAGTCGTTCTTGCTTCCCTCGTGCTATGTATCCTTTGATCATACCAGTTAGGTAAGCATAGGTCTTCTCAGGATGCCCTTCATCAAAGGTTTTGTATCGGTTGATATCGAAGGCCATAAGTTTTGAATGTTCAATCTTCCGGAACAATGTGTCACGCAGGGAATTGTTGGAAGGCAGATCATCATGTTTCATATTGTATACGATGTCAAGCCATTTGTTGTAGAATGCCTCAAGCTGATCATCTCCATAATAGTTGAACATATACAAATGATGGGCATTGTAGAGAACTTCAGTATGGTCAGGTGACTTGAAGCTAATCAGTATCATTGCAAATAGTTCTCGTCCCTTGATGAAGTCCCCACTTCTCCCATACAATTGGTTCTTCATGGACATGTCATACTTCACTTGCATGGATTTGTCCCCAGCATTGTCAATGACTTTTCTCAAGGCATTGGAGAGCTTGGCATCAATGGATTGGAACCTTACATCAGGAGCTTTGGCCAGAACCTCCAAGTCAGGTTGATCTGCAAGACACGGAGCTAGCCACGCTTTCCAATCTTCATAGTTTCGATCTCCACTTGCAACGCAAACTTCATGAACAACACTTCCCTTCCAGGATGAAAGTTCAGTGGTCTTAGGCCAGGGTTGGAGGCTGATCTTTTCGGCTTCTCTCAGAGATACGGATGACTTGGATCTATCCCTTTCGAGGTTCTCCAACTCCTTGACATTGGTGTTGTACTCGTTCCTGAGCTTCTCGAAGGCTTCAGCTTCTGCTCGGTATTCCTGCTCTTCATCATTGGCACGATCTTCAGCTTGAGAGAAATTGTTCTTGTAATAATCTTTCCGATCTTCCATCTTCTTCAACTCATCTTGAAGATTTCGGATTTCATTGTTCTTCTCTTGCTTCATCTCGTCCAACTCTGCTTTCAGTTTGGCACACTTCTCTTCACATTCATTCCGAGGCATAGCATTACTGGGGTACCCATGTAATGTAGTCGGTCTATTCATTGATGAAGAAGAATGAGTTTGGTTTTCCAACTTCAGGGCAGCAATGGTGCTCGACATCTCTTCTACCTCAGCGAAACGCTCATTGGCCAATTGATGCATCTCAGTCAAGTGGCTTTCAGGAATGGAATAGTCAGTCGCACCTTTGATCACGAGTCTTCTGTCGTTCAACATCTTGATGGACTTACCTGCATCCCTGTGAGCACGCTCTAGAGAGTCCTTTTGGGCTTCAAGTTCAATATGAAGACGAGCAATAGCTGTGTCCCTGTCATTGATTTCATTGTGCAAACTGTCGAACAAGTTACTCGTCACATTCGGATTGTTGCTCATGTGATCGATCTTGTTCAGAGCATCTTGATACTTCTTACCAGTTTCATCGAAATTTTGCTGGAAAGTTCTGAGCAGGTTCTCAGTGTCAATGAGTTCAGTTCTGTTCTGTAAGTACAACTTGTCAACTTCAGCCTTGGATTCCTTTAAGCTGTCACGCTCACGCACGGCTTGCATGTACATCTCGTATAGAGGTCCTCCATGCGGTGATCTGCTTGGTGAAGATCTTCTGGCTTGTTGACAGGAAAGTTCATGATACTGATTCTTCGATTCAGTCAGTTGTTGTTGCATTCGATCTAAAAGACTTTGTTTCATATGTAGTTCAGAACGTAGTCCCATTATCCTCATGTCCCGCATGCCGCCTGATTCAGCTAGAGACTCTTCAGAAATCCTGTTCTCAGAAATCGCTAACCGAGATTGTAAGTTCTCATTGTGGATCACCTGCAATCGAAGTTGTGATTCTTCCAAAGCTAAGTGATGTTCACATTCTGCATAACGGTCATGTTCAGATCTTATGTTACTACGGAACTCCTTCATGATCTCGTCCCTCTTCATGTCAGCAGCATCTAACTCAGTTTCCAGTCGTCTGACATTCATGGCCATGGTGTGCTTCATCGTCTGGTTCTGATTGGCAACCTCGAGCATCTCGATCTGTAGAGCACATGTTTGGTCATTAGCGTAGCCGACCGCTAGAGCTTCTTGCTTGGCATTCATCTCTGCGTTTTCCAGTTCCAGTCTGAGTTGATTGATGTGAGCATTCGCATCAGCGCCCACATGTACCATGATTGCGTTCGCTTGTCCCATTTGTTCATTTGTTCAAAATTCCGAACGTAGTCGTGAATATTTGAATTCCAAATGAGATGCAGCTTCATTCGACATAGTCTGATACCTTTCCAACTCTTCGATCCTGTAGGTCGCACCTTCATCTTCCTGTTGTGCAGCCTGTAACTCGAAGTTCAGCATCTGGAGTTGTTCGGTCATCGACATCATCTCTTGATGAGTGGTGCTTTCCAGGAAATTAAATTGTTGATAGGCGTATGCTGTCGTCTCGCTCAATCTTGCCTGAAGTACAGATTCTTCTTCAGTGGCCCTTTCCAGTGATGTCTTGTATTCAGATAATTCACTCTGATAGGCAGTGAAGATGTCGCTACCACTTGACGGGGCGTTCACTTGCTGATAAGATCCTGTCCCTGATGGAGTAGCGTCCTGAATCGGTGAAGGCGGATTCGAAGACGTAGTCTTTGCCTTAGTCCTCGGAGTCATCGGAGGCGACAATTGTCGTGCAGATGATCTTCTCTTTCCAGGTGTGCTGTCCCTATCTTCAATTGCTTGCATTGTCGAAATTTGTCTCCCTCTCGGAGCAACCAGATGTCGCCTGGGTTGGCTTATTCTCAATTCTGAGGCATCGCTTCCACCAGTGTCGATACTCTGTGAAGAATTTGACTGCGTGCCGGCAGCTGGTGCAACGGCATGTCCAGAGAAAGAAAATGCATTATCGCTGCTATCCTGTTCAGTCATCTGTAAGGCCCGCGGCTACCCGCTCGTAGGCTCCGTAGGAGTCCTACAGCTGATAACCTGTGAATCGGAGGTTGTCTCCCCGATTATGTACTCTGATACGAATGTGATCAGTGACGACGACACGGGAATGGCAACTTCAGCATGGCGCGACTTTCTTCAGGCTCCTGCAGTAGTTCTTGAGCCAAAGGGCCGAGTTGATGTGCCCCTTGGCTGTGGATCCTATAGGGATGAATTATGAGGTAATGTACAACTGTCCGTAGCCTACACTCTATTCGCAGTATGTATGTATGTATGTATGTATGTATGTATGTATGTATGTATGTATGTATGTATGTATGTATGTACATACATACATACATACATACATTACATTACATTACATTACACTACACTACACTACACTACACTACACTACATTACATTACATTACATTACATTACATCCATGCATACATACATACATACACATGTATATATATATATACATACATATACACAAATATATATATATACATATATATATATATAGTGTCTGTATATATTCATAAAACTGCGAATATCCGAGGTACAAGAAAATCTAGGAAACTGGTCATGGTTCTGCCATCGAAGCTGTCAAGCCAGGGGAGCCCTCCACCCTTTCTCGCCTTCCCAAACATCTACGACATCCTGGCAGGGAGCGGAGAATGGCAGAATCAAGCAGAGGTCTCATGCAATTTGCCCCTCACCAAAATTGTTTCTGAATCTTGAAAATTGCAAACCTGGCTGTTGAGCCAGCATTATCACTAGAGTAGATTCTGCCCACAAAGGGTTAGAGCATGAGCTAACAAAACGACAATGATTGGTACCGTGGCCGTGCGGGTACAAGGTCCTTGCTGATGACCACCACCTGAGCAGATGTTGCCCACAGCGTGTTCTACTTACCCATTTGACTCTGTGTTGTACAAATCAATCAACATGCAGAACAGACTCTTTCGTGATGAGAGAAAAGGAAGTTGCTTTGAGTTCCTTTTCAGGTTTTGTTCAATCGGAAAGCTCACACGCTTTTTTGTGGGGGGCCACACCTAATGTAAACTCCTCAAGATTCCGTGGATGTTTGTGAACACACGGGGCCTAGACATATATATATATATTTGTTGAATCAATCAAAAAAACATGATCTGTTGCCCATGAAACTGCTGCTTTGCAGCTCTTGCCCTTGAGGTCGCCATCACATATCCACACGGCTATCCCTTAAAATTTGGTGAGTCGGTCACCATTGTCCAACCATCTCAAATTGGAGGCCCGTGAAAAAAAAACAACTCCGCAAATCCATTGCCTTCTGCAGATTGTAGATGTTGCAGACCCTTTTTAGATCTTTTGAGCAGACGCACGAATAGCCTCTTAGCTGGTCCTTCAGTGCCACGCCCAACCCTCGGATTCCCAGAGCCAAGCAGCGATGATCAGAAGCCAAAGGTAGGCGATAATGGAGAAGCTGGCCGTCACTGCAAAGACTGGGACCTCTTTGATAAAGCGCACCTGGAAGTTGGCGAAGTTGGCGAAGTTGGCGTGGAAACTCGTGCCCAATCGACCACGAGTTTGAACGCTTCCAAAATGGTGAGATCCATGGATACACCACTGGAAGTACTAATTGTTAAATATTACTATATAATTTACTCAAAAATACCAGCCGCAAACATCCTGCCATCAAGGCTGGTGTATGAGGTATTGAGATAGCCTGGCTCCAAATATTGTCCTTGCCATTGATTTTTGCCGCGCTTTTGGGATGGCACCAGGAAAATGAAAGCTAGTCAGCTAGTCACCATGACGGGGACTCACTACAAGATTCACATGCCTCGGAGGCTTGCTGTCTGATTTCATCAAAATCCTGAAGAAAAAAGTGGATCCACTGTTTTATTTTGATCATTCACTGTACAATTAACAAAGACAGAGCAGCCAAGATCCCAAAATGAGAACTACATCCCTAGCCTCTGGAGAAGGAATCGCCGCAACCTCAGCTTTTAGCGCAAGGCTGATGTTAAACGGAAGGTGCATACAATATTGATATTTATGTTTATACATATAATACATATATACATATATACATATGCATATACATAATCTATATATATATACATATATTTATGTGCATGCGTTGTAAAAATATACAAATACCAACACACACTCTTTCTCTCTATCTCTCTCCAATCCATTCATTCTTTCTTGGAAAATCAGCTATTCCAAGGAGCCCAGACCACAGCTGGTAGCCTCCAGTAATCTAACCTTACTGCCCCCCTGAAAGCTCTTGCTTCCCCTGTTCCCATTGCTATGCTTGATTACCTGCAGCTAATCATTGTATGTCCGAGCTGCACAAACTGCAGAAATCACCAATAAGTTGAAGGCGGCACTACCTGCCAACGGCAGGCCAGGCCTTCTATGAACGGGATGAAAAAAAAGGAGGCTGCCGGGTCTACCTCTCTTTTTGATCAACCAGTGGGAAATTGGAAATTTATGCAGAGGGGTAGGTCACAACAAAATACTGGAAACACATTTTGAAGGGTCAGACGGTCAGACCTCAACTCAACATTCTCGAAGCATGTTCATCCTCGGAATCCAAGAATATCCTATATAGCCTATAGTATCCTATACATTTCGGAAGCAGTAGATGTTCGTCTTCTCGAGCATTTCAAGCACCCAATTTGAGGTCAATCCACTACTTTCTTGCAAAGCTGCTGGGATAATCTGCGATCCATACTTCGAGCTCAGGCCTCTGGTTAGCTAGTAGGGCGCAAAAATATACAATATGATACAAACATATACATATATATATATATACAGTATATATATATATACATATGCAGTTCATATACATAGACATAGAGATATAGACATAGACATATACAATTATATATATATATATCGCAACATATAATGCAAGATATCTCACTTATGGCCAGGTTTCAAAACCCGGCCCGTCTCTGCTGAATCAAGTCTCGCACCTTCACAGAAATATGGCATCGGGAAATCCCCATCTCTTTGATAAATCACTTAAATCACCTATAAATGGATTCATCATGATTAATCAAAGATCTAAGTGATATATGGGGATTTTATTAAATCACCTATAATGGTCCTGCTATAGATCTACAAATCTGGGGAAGTGTCCATCGTAGATCAGCAGGACCCCTGCCGGGCCGGGCCTACAATCGTGGACGGCCCCAAGGCCCCGCTGAAAAAGCTGTCGCCCACCCTCAGTCCGAGAGTGATCCGGTGGCTCGGAAATGGTTGTTTGGAATCCTTTGGAAATGTATGGAAATATGATATCACGATCCATCCAATCATTCACAATTTCTGGCCCAAAATAAACAGATCCAGTCCAGTACCATTCCTACCATTTCGTGAGACCTAAGAACGGATAGATGTCATTCAAAAATGTGATGGTTGAAGTGCAAAAAACATCTCAAATCTGGAGGTGGGTCTTCCACCTATGCCCAGCTGCTAGAGGTCTTCATGGTGAGCGTGTGACCAGAAGATTCACCCGTTGATGCTTGAGTTTGGCACAGATCAACGAAGCAACAACCATACTGCTGAGAGCCATACTCCTACATCAGCATATAATTAGATATAATTAGCTGCAGAATGAACATGCCTCTGCTTGAGTTCTGCCCCAACAGTAGTGACCCAGCCTGCCATCCTGAACTAAAGCTACTGGTTGGTCATGGTTGGTCGATGCGGTGTTCCCATATTGGATGAATCCATCCCTTTATAACTTTAAAACTATGTAGTGTCACCCCATACAACCATCAACCACCAGGGATTTGGGGCACATGTTCCATTGATTCCATTTTCATTCGAGTCTTCTTTTCTGGGGGATGGTTTGCAAACATTGCGATCCATAGAGAAAAACGCGGGATGACTTGTGACTTTCCTTAGAGGTCCTGTGACTGTTATCCATGCATATGCACACACATTTCCAGTCATATGACCGTGACACATCTCAATCTGCCGCCCAGTCACAGCTCAATGATGCTCAACAAGATTTCTGGAGCACTAGAGCCCAAGGCCATCAATGTGAGGTTTGACACCTCACCAGTTGCTGGACGGGATCGATCCATTCCCCCATTTTGATGGGACAAAAACCCGTGGTGAATTTCCTCTCACCCGCCAGAAATTGGGGATGCGTACATTTGATTCCAATGTTGTATTCAACATCCTTTCCAGTGGCTGAAACATGTTCCAACATATTGAAAAATATTGAAACTATATCATGAGGTCTACTGGCCACTCAATTCGGCAGGTCACCAACTGAGATCTCCTGGCGCCCAGCCCAAATTTGCGCACCAGTTTGACAATTTGGGAATCTCTATGATCTTTGGTTTGAACAAACCATGGCTGTGACCCCTATTGTTTTCCGCATTCCGGAAAATGGTGAGACAAATGAATTTGTCCAAGATGTCCCAAATATCTATTGTCTCTTGACGAACAAATGCACTGTATGCTAAGGACAAAAACTATGTGCCGGTGGGTATGGCTCAAAATGATTGACAACAATAACAAAAAAGAATGGTCTATATAGCAGTCAAAATGACAAGCCCGTGGTGCGTCCATCGGTACCCCATGTTTGACCCATACTTTGTCTCCGTCACATCTGAGTCCCAAGCTGTTTCGTTCCACACCTGCAACTGATGAAGGGAGAACAGCAATCAGCCCGTAGGAACTCTGGATCACAGGTCACACTCGCACACATCTTTCGCAATGTGAAAGTCCCAAAATCTGGTTTTTGCTACCAAATTGCAAAAAACAGCAGTTTTTCGGGTTGATCCAGAATTGCTCGTTTGCTCATCAACATTTTGCACTTTTCCTTTCGGCAGTTTTTGTGAGGACATCGACCGCGCCTTGGTGGTGTAGTTGCGTCCCGTTTTAGGATCTACTACACGCCTGAGCCAGCGAAAGCTAGGACACCTTTGGATCAGCTCCCCAGTTGATAAGGCTTAAAAAGATCAGTGATGGGGAATATATATATATATATATATCAGTTCAACTGTCAGCTCCTTTTTGCTCAAGCTGCATATGCATCAATCACAGGACTGCTTCGGCAGGATGGCTACAGCTATTGCATCCAAAGATTCAAGCCGCAAATGCGGCATTGTCTCTTGGGCAGCTATGGCATCTCGAAGCGGTCAGGTAAATGATCTTCCCATCACTCTACCCATTTTTTCCTCCAAGGCATCTTTCACTGGGAAGAAAACAAAAAGTACCAAGCGCTTTCCGGAATGAGTGCTTCACGGTAGGTTCTAGCCTGATGGATCAATTGTTGAAAAGTTCCTGCAACTGCAAAGATGAAAAACCTGCTATGCTGTGGAATCATGAGCAGGTATTGCAAGGCCATGCTTTCTTGAACGTATATTTCCATCATCTTTGCATTTGCCACCCGTCCCCTTCTCCTGCACAATTCGCCGTTTTCAGTTGAGAGTATTATGAAAGTCGCTCCACCCGATCTTAAGCTGCCTAGATCTAGGCAGCGATTCCCAGGAGAACTTGTGACAGGCAATTTCAGAGCTTTTAGTAGGGAGAGAAATCTTGTCCTTAGTGTCTGGGCACTGTAGGGCCACAGCCTTTGGACCCCCTGTAACTTCCTGAAGGCTATATCAATCACCTGAACCAGATCAGATGAATCCACTTTGGCTGTCTGTTGCCGCGCATAGGTGTATCTGCTTTTAGGTTCCCGGATACTGAGCAAAACGAAGGATGTTGTAAAACCAGTGTCACTTGGAAGAAGTAAATCCTGACGAAGTGCAGCTACCATCTCACCAGGCCTAAGTAGGCCACCAAAACCCAGTGCCAAGAGTCCCGCAGTAGACATCCATCCCCACATGATCGCGACTGAAATCATTGCAATCAGGATGGGCGCCGGCACCGGAATATGGTGTTGAGATGGTTCCTGTTTTGTCCAAGCTATGCCCAGATCCCAAGCAGCTGTCATCATGCGGCGAAGTCCGGGCTTCAGTGCAGTCAAAGCGTTGAGAGTCTCAGCATACTGGTTATACGTTTTCCCGGCAGCATACAACGTACGTCCATACCTAACCAATATGAAATTCAGCTCATCAATGTTATACATGTAGTTCAGGAGAATATCATCAAGATCCAAACCTTCAGAAAAAGCCCAGCGCTTGAAAATGTCCCAGTATCTCTCACGAAGGCCAGTTGTAGCATCGGTCACTGGGCGACCCGCTCTCAGCTCCGGCCTCTCCATCCTTTCATTCATGCGTCTCGTCTCAGCAGGTGTCGACGCAAAAATCGGCATGGCTGATCCTAACTGCGGGAAACTACAAAAGAGAAGAAGCAGAAGACAGAAAAGACGACCAGAAGGAGGACAACTAGGAAAACCACCACTCAGGCGAAGAACAGAAAGCGAGGACCCTGTATTACTATTCCAACGACAGGGCCTGGCACTACACATGAAAATGCAGGCACTTGCAGCTGCCCTCACAAATAGAGAGCAAAACTCGGAAAGCGCTTTGGAAAAGGAAAAGGTAAGCGGACCTTCTCCTGGATAGCCCAGAGTACTATCAAATTCCAGCACCCTTATAGGCTCTTGTCTCAAACTTTTATAGGCTGGTGGGACGCGGTACTTTGACCTGTCTCGAAATTGCAAACACCTGGGGCCTAAGCAAAGCACTACCAGTCGGACCCAGTTTGAAGACCACCTTCGCAGTTTGGGCAGGGATGCCAAGTCAAAAAGCTGTTCACGGTCCCAGTTACCTAAACCAAGTCCAGCCAAGGCATCACGGCACTCCCTATCCCTAGTAGGATCATCAGCAACGTTCAGACGAGTCGGACTAAAAGGGATGCTGATGTACAGACCTACTATGGTGGCACAAACCCTTCTCAAAATTGACCCAAGGCCCAGAGACGAGGTCCTACCTTTGGAAGTTGCACAGAGCACCACATGGGAATCCACAAAAACAGCAAATCGTTTAGGGGACCCTTCTTTGGCTAACAGCTGGCAAAGGCGAAGTAAGGCACTTTCTTCAAGGATGTTTATATGGCTATGCTTTTTGAAGCTCCACACCTTCCAGGGCCTCCACTTTGCCGTGAGCATCACCTCATTTGACAGCTGGGACTCAAGCCCTTTTACCTGGATGTCATCAAGGCACTTTGCTTGTTCTTTTTGTCGGTCAATTCCGGCTGCTAGGACAGAGGCCAACGTGGTAGCCAGGGCATCACTGTAAATTGCAGAGACTTTGGTGTATCCCTCCTGCACTTGCACATGTTTTCCAGCGCACTTGCAACGCAAAGCCAACTTGGAAGTATCAACATTTACACCAAGGAATCTGAAGCTTTTGAGATGAACAGAACCAAACCTGCATGAGTCTGAACGAACTTCCGAAGCTCCATCAAGCCGTCTCAATATGTTCCAAAAAGGCAAGTGCTTCATGTAAGAGGAATAGGGTGTCTCCAACAAACCAGCTGCACCACTCGTGTGGCCTACATATGTGATCTGCCCGGACCTATGTGCCAGAACATTACCGAGGTGGGTCTGATTGTCCTCAGGTTCAAAGCCAAAAGGTTGCTGTTTGCTGCGTAGCCTAGGCCTGCGCATTATGCTAAACGTGGTGCAAGGCGGCCCTAAGAAGAAGCCTAGCAAGCGCTTTTCTGTGAGCATGAAAACCAACCATGATACCACATAGTGTTTCTCCAGGTTGTATTCCTCTGAAATGCTAATGTCCAGCGGAGGTCCTACCACATATCCCCATTCTAAAAGACATTGGGAAATTTTCGAAGCTCCCGAAAAAAACTCGATGAAATCATAACTGAACGCGGGAGGCCGTTCCAGTCTCTGGAGTCCAGTGCTACTTCTTCCAGCTCTCCTAGCTGCTTCAGCACGCATTCGACAGGGGACAACAAGCGCGAGTATGCTCCTTTCGTCTTCGAGGTTTTCCACAGCACTTCAGAAACATCTTTGCTAACTGCTGCCCGCAGAATCGCGCCCTTCTCAAGTGACGCGTCGGTGCAGTATATGTCTTGGGAAAACGGCACAGCAATGTCTGTGACAGCCAACGGCGCTAAAACTGAAAGCAAAACCAGCTCGCCAGCCACCTTACGTGTCAAGGGAACCACACGGGGATTCTCTCGGTCGAAAGCCAGCATATCAACCACCTTAAAGCTATCCTGCAGGATGGCCATCATAGGCCGTCTATAGCCCAGCAAGGAGACCCAACCTCCAATCAAACACAAGTGCAAAGAGTCTGAGGTCATAGGTAGCTGAGCTACTTGCAGAGACAAGTACGACAGCGCAATGCGTTTCTTAGCCGGCGCCGCAACTGTGACCATCCCACGATCGACTGCACGATCACTTGCATTGAGATATGCCCCAATGATTCGACCTTCCTGCACTCCTACCAGGTCTTTGTGAGGTGACCCCAGCAGCCCCGCCTTGTCATAGGTTTTCTCTGCGAGCCTATAGCTTTTCTCTGACTGACTCATACCTGTAAAGTTTTTGTCCTCAAACGAGATGGCAAAAAAAACATTTATCACCAGTCCTTCAGCTATCTTCAGCTCTGGAGTTGGACCTCAAAGGTCTACTAGCAACGATGCGACAGTCATCACCAAGAACTCCTGAAGACTTCAACAAGTTCGTGTGTGCCTGTGTCGCTATCTCAACTCCTGCATGGTCTCCTCGAAGAACTGAAGCAAAAGCAACCCACAGATGCCCCGAGGGCGGCTCAAGGTATTCCTGAGGCTGGTCTGCAAAAAATCCCCTTGTTTCAACCTGTTAAAACGCTTCCTGGCACTCCTGATGACGTGATGTGAATATGCTTTCGTGTCACTAACCAGATTCAAAGGAACTGCAGGGCCGATTGTGTTGCAAAGTGCACGAGCCTCTGAAGCCTTTGTCTGATGATAAAAGTCACGACGATCGCTAATGGAAATGTAGACTTTCTGGGTGGCAGGGTCGACAAACAAATCACACAGGTCGCAACCACTGGGTAAATCACTGCTTGGGCCTAGAAGCTTGCATTCCCTCTGGTTTTGACCCCTCCTATCTCCTATCTGACGATGCGTCTGCAAGTCTTTGAATGCACCAAAAATCCTCACAAAGCTATCAGGATGCACCGCTTTGTTATGCAAGTACAAAAGGCCATGGGCATCCCACTTCCGAGCCAACGCAGCCAAAGTCTCAGGAGAATCTCGAATCAAAACACCTGGAGGGGTTGGCATCCCATGCAATATACTTCTAGGTTCCCTATAAGCCATGCATATACCATCATCTAAGTACTGCGTGGCATCCCAGTGTCCAGTGCCAAAATCTTGATCTTCTCAGGGTCTAGATCATGGAAAGGTCGGAGTTCAGGTTCAGGCTCCTCTGTCTTCTCAACCGTCACACCATTAAAAGTTTGATCATACGGGTCAGCTGTAGGGCCCAACTTTGCAAGCTTGTCGCTGATCTCCGCAATTCTTGCAACCAATTCCGGGAAGCGTCTCCCCACAGAAGGTAGATTGTCAACCTCCACGTCACCATCCGACTCTATTAGAAGCCTCAACCGTTGATACAGCTTCAGATGATGTTCTGAGGGCCTCCTCCGCAACAACTCAACCTGCGCAAACACCCCTCCTGAATACCAGAAATTCAAGGCAGCTACCATCACATGTACCGCTCTGGAAACATGCCTGGAGTGATTTGCAAATGCAGGGCTAGCCACGGGCATCCTACCATAAATCCCCATGAAAGGCAATGGTATTGGGAAAAAAGTCGGGATCGTCTTAGCTTCACGGCACGGCCAAGACGAGACAGCTTGATGGTACGACTCAAAAACGCTGCAAATGCCGACCGTGTGGACAGGACCATTGGAGTCAGACGGGCACACCACTTCGTGTATGACAACGAACCTGAATCAAGGGCCCTGCCATGGGAGCTATCCTTCCTACGGGAACCATGCACATCCTCAGCTTTGGGTCTTTGCTCGCAAGTCCCGGACGGCTTATCAAGTCCAGATGGCTCAGTCTGGCTATAAATTAAAGATCGGTCTGGGGAACTACCGGCCTTACTATTTGTACACATATTGCTGGCATTCAAGTTGGCACAATCACCCTTGCAAGCTTCAATCCCACTATCATAGACTAAAAAAGAATCTATTGAATTCGGACATGCAGAGAAAGTGGCATCTAGCTGGTGGTCTCTCCCCCGCCTTTCGGCTTCTTTGGAAAGCGGGGTCGCCTCTTGGGTGACGGAGTACTGGAAGGATCCTCCGCTTTTGCTGGAGACTTCTGGGGTCGTGCCTCGGTTTTCTTCGTTGACAGCAGATCTACCTCCTTCAGGTATGCGAGTGCGGTCGCACTCCATACCCCCGGAACTAGTGGCGAAAACGGTTTCCCTAGAGCTGAAACTGGATGGGCCCCTAGAGCTGAAACTGGATGGGCTCGGTCTGCAAAGAGCTGACTGGGCGGCTCTTCCAACAGGGACAGGACGTAAGCAATGCCCCAATGCCCATCCATCGATGCCTGCTCTACACATGCTGTCGTAAGGGCTAGAAACTCGCGGGTCTTGTGAACATCCCCGCTCGCTGCTGAGTCCATGCAATGACCCAGCATCCACATGATCATTCCCAACTCGTTTTTGCCCTTGTACCCCCCGAATCTTTCGAGGTAAGCACACATTGAGGTGCCGCTGGCCAGAAGGTCCTGCTCTGTACGAGGAACTGGTAACGCAGGGTTCATCTTTTTGTAGATTTGCTGTGGCACCTGCATGAACATGCTGCTCGATCCCGTTGCCAGCTCTTGCTGCATGCGTTCTCTGCGAGCAACGCCTCTGGTACCAATGCCTTGCGAGGACGCACTTGTGGAGCTCAAGTCCGCAATGGGATCTCCACTTGCTAAATGGCTGACCAGGGCCGATATGGCCTGGGACTGCTGCACAATGGCTCTTGTCATTTCGTCTCCTCCTGGCGACTCGGGATTTTCCACCGGGTTCACGGCATCGCTTGCATCGGCTGCACCAAACAAAACTGGCTGCTTTGTTTTGGGCGGGGGTCCCAAAAGCTTTGAGATCTTGGGCACAGGGAGGCCCCCTGTTCCCCCCATTCCTGCTGACACCGGAGGAAGCACCGAGGGCATAGCTGCTTTTCCAAGTTCTGGCCCGGCGACAGGAGTGACAAAAGAGGCCTGGTGGCTCTTCATAAGCTCTTGTTGCTGCGCCGCCAAAAGTTGGACCTGACTGGACAAGGCAGACACGGTTTCTGCAAGGGCTGCCGCCGTCACCTTTTTTGCTGCCGCCTTCTTGGGAGCAGGCTTTGAAGGCGCAATCACCTCTTGAGTCGGCTCTTCTCGAGCCGAATAAAAATCCAGTCTGGCAGCACCTCCTGATTGCTGTATCCACTCGGAGATGCGATCAAGGATGGTCTCAATCTGAGGGATTGCTTCGGGACGGTCAACACTGAAAACCATATGGTCACCGCTGGGGTCAGTAACAGGATCATATTCTCTAAGGAATTCCAGACCAGCGTGAGACACATCGATCACTAAGAATCTTGCTTCAACCCCAACATTCACCGTACCGAGTCCACTCTCATCCTCCTCAATCAAGGGTGCCACAAAATCACGAGAGGGCCCAAAAAGGCTTCCGTCTTCAGCAAAAAGGGCATCCGTCACAACATCAGCTTGCAAGAAATTTTCAGGTGTGGCCAACAAGAAACCCTCCTTACGAGGGATCACAGGAATTGCAAGGCAAGTAGGTGCACGAATTCCTAGGGTGAGATACTCTGCGGGAGGCTCGAAGACCAGCAAGTGACTGTCTTCTCCTCTGCCTACAAACTTCAAACTGTCTTGGATCATGCTGCAACCAAAGGAGGAATGGCTACACGTGCAGCCAGGCAAAAGATCTCAACCTCAGTCAGGGAATCAAAAGTTCCGAGGACGAGGAACTTGTCCTTCGTGTTGCAAAGGGCCTCAAGGTCCTTGAGCGATGTCGTGCGAAACGGCTGGGATCGAGAAGACCTCAGGACAATCCAATGGTGGGTTCGCAACCCAGGCAAAAGCGTCTTGTCAGTGAAGACAGTGCGGGTCTCCACGGCAATGTAAGCCCAAAAACCAGCTGTGTGGGCTTTTTCAACCCGATCAGGCACACCCGGCTCTTTGGAAGACAGTTTCTCAGAGGCAAGCGCAAAACAGAAATTGGGCGGTCTGCCCGGTCCTTCCTCCAAGCCTCGAAAGCGCCACAGCGCGCAGTAGGTCACAAACTCGGTTGGAAAAGGTGTTCTCTGCAGCTCAATCACCTTACCTACAGCACTCACCGGACTAGAAGCTTCACTGAAAGCAGGCACGGGCTCTGAAGGAAAAGCAGTTCGGCGGCTGACCAAAAAATCAATCTTGGCAGCTAATCGGTCTGTGGCTAGGCCAATCGTTCTACGGCTTCAGTCAAATGTTGGATGGCTTGCTCACTCATACAAATATTGACCTAATCTGGAACTCCTACGTCTCAACTGCTGCGACACTCGATCCGGAGCAGCAGATACGTCTGGATGAGGCACAGAAAAATGGGCTCTAAGGAAGATTAGGAAAAGCAAAGCCAGGCAAATTCCAACGAAGATCCCAGACAGAAGGCCAATGAACCAAGGCACCAGAACAGACTGGCCACAGTGATAGGCGCAAGAAAAAGTAAGTGAAAAGTCGCGAACAGCTCCAAGGAAAGAAGGCACGTGCTCTACCCACATCGATCTTGAGATGCAAAAAACCAGCCAGAGTCACAGATAATGCCATATATTATTATGTGTATAAATATATATATATATACATTATATTATGTGTATATATAGATATATATATATACATATAACATATGTATATAACAAATATATATATATATATACGGAATATCATATCAACCAGTTTGCGGAAATTACAGGAGAATATATAACCAAGCAGATGATATGAGTGTGTCTGAACATGTGGATGGGCCCCTATTTTATGGTTAGATAGTTGCATGGGGAAGACTTGCCAAAGAATATGGTATGATTCGTAAGATGGTATAGGTTTCCATTTTTTTCTGACAATCCCATGTCGATCATTGTCGATCCATACAAAGAACGAGGTCAAGGGCCCACTGAGGAGATGCGTTCATTGAAGTCGGGTCTTGGCAAGGTCACTTGGTCATTTCCAATAGGCGTATGTCCCAGGTCTAGGGAGGTTCCTTTTGTCGTGCTTTGGTATTGTTTTCTTGTACTCCCAAAGACAATTCTGTTTGTGCCAGTTGCCATGCTTCCCTGCTGCTGCTGCAAGACTCTCCGCTCCTCTCGTTAAAGTAATGTACCCTCTGGTAATTTAACATAACTATGGGAAATACCATGTTCAATGGGAAAATCCACTATAAATGGCCATTTTCAATAGCTATGTTAGTTTACCAGAGGGTACCTCTTCACGAACCCAAAGCGTGCCCTTTTCCACCCATGGACCAATGGAGGTGTCCTGGTCCCAACCCGAAAACCACTCGCACCGGGTTTTTTGTTGGGCTATTCGGCTAGTCGGTCTCCCAAATCCAGCCCACCATGTTCCCGCCGAGCAGCTTCTTTTTCGATGTGATGGTCTCAATTGCGCTCATGAAAACATCTGCGACTATGGCCTGAAGCCGCATGCCAGGGCGCAGGGTGGATGGTGAGACCAGTTTCAAAAGGTTCCATGTGGTTCAGCCAAGAAAAAAAACGAAATGGTGGGAATGGATTTCTCTTAGTAATATACATCCATGCTGAAGCTCCTGCGATTTGTGGAACGAGCCATGTGTCGCCAAGGGGCTACGCCAATGAAGGTCCAAAGAAGTCCCAGGAGGTAAAGGAAACCGCGAAGCCCTGCTGGCCACACCTGGATGATTTAGGGTACCCATGGATTGGAAACCTCTATGTGGAGAAGCTCAAAAGATGTTCTAAAGCCCTTCTGAACACTGGGTGATTTTGGGTAAGGAACTGGGAGAGAACCGATATATGAAAGGAGATCCATAGAATCCATCCAGTTCTGAAGCACTTACGAACGCATCCGGGATAATCCCAGAAGGGATTCAAGGAACCTTGGACACCTCCTACAGACTTGTCCATTGGATTGGCCTATTCCCAACCAACAGACAGTTTCTGGAAGCCTTCTCCTACCAATGTAAAAAAATGGGCTAGAGAATTCCAGCATGGTTCCGCATGGCAATGCCGAAATTGGATTCTGCCCAAACGCTTGACCTTCAACTGAAAGTGGGGCTTCAAAGAAAATTAAAATTACGCTCGAAGACACCTCAACACTACTGATTGGTAGTTGAACGACCCCTCAAAAGAATAAGAGTCTTGGGGTCAGCAGAAAATCATACCAGTCGCTCTGAAACCGATCAGCAATGCAACCCCCAGCCTGTTCGGCATCACCAAAGAGAGGTAGGAACAGGCCTTCTCCACCGACTTCGCAAATTTTCACCTGAAAAATTGTGACAGACTTGGGATCACACCATTTCAGGAATCTAAAATCGTAATTTGAAAATCTTTGAAAAATTTGCCAAAACAGGGGGGGTTCCCCAATGTTTTGAGAGGGAGCTTGGGGTGAACTGAACTCCTGCGACTTGGGCAACACGCCATGTGGCCCTTTCTGGGGCTCAATCCTCAACTCCCAGCAACGGATCCAGATGGATCCAGATGGATCCAGGATACTTGCCCTCAATGCATGCCTAATATTGCTTAATTATCAACATATACAGCGCCCCATCATTGCAGGAGGCACAAAAGGACGCGAAAGATTCTATCTTGGACAATTGCGTTCAGTTTCTACATCAATAGGCCTGTAGTATTCCAAAAACCGGCCCACAAATGGACACAAACATCTTTCGCACCAAAGCTGGCCATCGCCTCGCAAGCTTCGGTGGAATTGGCCATGGCTTGCGCCTCGAACGGACCGTTGGGACCATTGGGACCATTGGGACAATGCTTGAAGGGAAGGCTCCCTGAAAAGCCATGGTTTTTCCGCGTTCTTACCATTCGATTTGGGATTTGCGGCTCAAATTTTGGGGAGTGTTGTCGAATTCTTCTTTGCTTCCAGTAATATTGAACCATTCTGAAACTCTGGGGGATCTTCCACATCGCCCAAACAGATTATGATTATGGTTGATGGTTTGTTTCCATCAAGGTCAGTGCGATGTCTTTTTGGAAACAATACTTGAGGGGGCCGGACCATTCAATCCCATCCTAATGTTAAATACCCCCACAAGTGGGTCCCCAAAATGAATAGTACAAAATGCTCAACAGGGTAGCTTTTGACGCGGACCAACGACCATAAATGAATCATTCGATAAGTCCAAAATGGAAAAGGTGACTAGTCAACCTTCGGTCCCCAAAAGGTGCTGGAGTTTGACCAAAAAAAACCATCTGGATATGCTTTAAAGTTTAAAATGTTTGACCCATAAAATGGGATTGTTTCCGATCCTACAAAGTGACATATGAGTCATATGAGCATTTTCTTGGGCTTTATTGCCAACCCAGTTCCCAGCATCTGCCCTTGCCATGTCCGCATCCAAGGGTCCAAGGCTGCGCAGTCGGAGCGCCGAAGTGAAACGTCCTTCGCTAAGCGGCGCTCCCCGGGGATGCCAGTGGAGCACGGCGCTGTGGCTGTCTGATCGTTGGACGCGCTCTGAAAAAAATTAGGAAGTTGATCAAATCGATCCAATCGATCCAATCGATCTGATTTTGGTCTTCTGCTGGTGAGTTTTCTCTGTTTTCGACCACAGGGAAGTCCAGTGAAGTTCACTTCCGTTGGGAAACTGATGCTGTAGCGAAGTCTTGAAGTGAAGCTGTTTCCAACAAAACCGCCGGCGGAGCTGTTCGAGCCGGGGAGATCATCCGAAATCTGCGTTGTGCATCTGGGAGAAGAAAAGAATCTAGGGATCGCCCGATGCAAAGATGTCGTGGGATTGAGGAACTGGTACATGAGTTTATAGAATGATAGTAAACACAATCTGAGTTGTAAGTCCTCTGTCTGATGAATCGCATCTTCAACCCAGATTTAGATACAGCAGAGGCCAGGCCTGAAAAACCAAGGGTTTTGTTTGACACATGTGAAGTTTCATTCAACTGATTCAACATGGAAAGTCTTTGAAACTTTTCATCCATCAAAAATATTAATAGTTCGCCCAGTAACCAGCCATTCACGAGTCAGTTTACCCAGAAACATGGTTGGTTGAGCGAGGAAATCTTCAATCCCGCCCGAGTAGTTTCCAGCAAAAAATGCCTTCCAAACAAAGCGGGTGCTTAAAAGAAATGCCATTGTCTGGCGGACAATGACCAACGCTGCAATGTGTGGCGACGGGAGAAGGACGGAAAAAATCCATGGGTCTAGTGCGAAGGTCAGCTGATATTCTGCTGCTAGATTTCACTCGGAAACTATCATGATGATCACAAATCGTCCTTGAATCTGGCAGGTTGAAGAATAGAATGGTAAGTTTGAGAAAGACAACGAACAACAAGACGCCAAACAGGGTTGTCTCCAGCACCCCAGATGCAAGGGAGAAAGAGTGGATACCCTCTGGTAATTTAACATAACTACGTAAACTGGCCCTTTTTGTAGATGATAAACATTGATAAACATCATGGTTTACCTATTAAAAGTGGTGACTTTCCCTGGCTTCGCCCCCAGGCCAACCTCTGGTGGCCTTGCAAGGAGGAACCCAACCGCTGGAAGATTCTATGGTACCTACATACAAATATACACAGAGGTGCATTAGATACAAAGATAGATATGAATCTAATGATGTCTTTATATGATATCAAACACATGTAGAAATATATAAAGACATATATATATATAAGTCCATGGCTTGGGGC